AGAATAGAATCTTTGCACAGTTTTGCAAACAAAACAACTTTTGGACACCTTTTCTAGTTCTTAAACCTATTTTTACTCCTTCTTACTCTATCAACAGCGAGTTCTAATATTAAATCCTTAAGTAGCGATAATTCTCAAAGAAATATATGATGATGATGATAATAAGCTTCAAGAAATAAAATAACACAGTAAATAAAGGTACTCGAGAAAAAAAATTATAAAAGTTATATAGAAACTTATGTAAAAAAACAATAAAAATAAGGTTGAATAAAAAGCGTTTTGAATTATGATAAATTTTAAAATACAAGGCAAAAAGTTTGTCGAAACATATTTATAAGGTTCATGCAAAAAAAGTGATGTCTCAGTTTTTTTCAATAGTCAGTCAAAAAACAAAATTCCTAAATCAAAAATGATTATATTCAAAGTTTAATTTAACATTACATAACATGAAATTAGAAAAGAATAATGACAAATAAAATACTAGTTTTGTAAATAATTTCTGCGAAGAAGAAATAGAACATGCAAGTATTGTATCAAATAAATAGAACATAATTAAACAAAAGGTTACATGTTCTTTTGGGAGTGTAGCGAGAATTTTTCTGAATTGCTTACAACTCTACTGGGGAAAACGGTGCAATCGCAGTAAATGAAAACAATATTCTTCTAAGCAAATACAGGAAAAATATGCTATATTAAAGATAAACAATTTGTTAGAATTGTTAGTCATTATTAGTTAGGAAAAAGTCATATTACTAACATTCTAAATGATATTAATGTAAGATTGATACATCAATACGCGTAGGCATTAAAAAAGGTAGTAAACAAAGCGGGGACACCAACAAAGTTAAAAGAAAAAACCCCGTTTTCCATCGCTGTGGAAAAAAATATATAGTTATTTTGTTACTAAGTTTTAAAAAAAAACACAAAATTAACCCTTCAAATACAATATTAATGAAGTATCACTAAATGTATAGTTTACTGTTTAAAACGTCAATAAAATCCCTTAAAAATACACTAGTGTAAAAATTTACCTTCTTATATAAATAACAATATTTTCGAATTATTCTTTCTTCCTTTTTTCCTGCAATGAATGTTTAGTAAAAAGAGAATTAAATAAACTATAAACTTTGTGATTCTAGACAGCAGTGGATCCCAAATTTTTCAGGCTACGGAACCCTTTATGATGGACATTATTTTGGTGGAACCCCGACTCAAAAAATTTCATCAACTATTGTAAACTCAACCAAAGATTCGCTACTAATTAAGTACATTTATTTTTAAATCGTTTTGTCAATAATAATTTTAAAAATAGATTTTACTTAAGACTGTCGAATTCACTGATGAAAAGTGGCATCTAATCTAGCTCAATAATTTAATTTTGATGTATGCATAAGCTAAAAATAAATTTAAAAAAAAGCTGAGTTATGTATCTTTTTATTTGAAAATGAATAATGAACGTTTAATGAACTATCATACATTTCATACTGTAAACTAAGAAACATCTATTTATGGTTGATTGTTCTTGTGGTATTTCTTTATAGTTATGATAAGTTTGACGGAGGATATCAATGAAAATTTATTATAAATGCTGAAAGAAATATTTCTGTTAAAAAAAATATTCTATTTTTTTCTATAACTTTTGCTGAAGTAATTTTATTAAAAAATTTTAAATATTTAGCAAGTATTACTTTGTTTAGTGGATATAAATATAACCACCTACGGTTTTAAAAATCATAAATGTTTTTCTTTAAAAAAAAATTTTCATTGTCGGAACCGTTTTGACTCATCCACAGAACCCTAAGATTCCGCGAAACACGCTTTCGGAACCACTGCTCTATTGACTTAAAACATTATATTTTTGAACATTTCAAATCTCTATATGCATTTTGCTGAAAAAATCTACCTTTCTTGACTAACTCTTTCAAAGAAATGTTTTAATATATATTCTGTAATTATAACATAAACTGGAAAAATAATGTTTGGTTTTAACCTAAAGTTTCTTGCTAAATCATATGGAAATACGCCCTAATGAATATTTATAATGAATAATACCTAAAGTAATGAAGTTATTAATAATACTCCCCCTTCTGAACACAATTGCATTTATGCTGATTCAGATTCTAGATTCTGCATTTATCATAGCTACCATTATTAAACAATCCGAACTGCAACTAGGCTGTTACATATAACTGTTTATAACTGAATAGAATTTAATTCAAAAACAGTCTTACCATACTCATTAAAAATATTTTTATTATTTATCATTTTTTAAACATTTTATAAAAAAATATATCTAAAAAGTGTATTAAAATAAAGAAACCGGTTAAATTTATATTTGTTAATTTGCGCAAGGTATACATTTTTTCATATTCAAAAGGAGATTCCCTTTATAAGAATATCAGTTATTGGTTAAATGTATCTCTTATGCTGATCTAACATTACCAAAAGCAGAAAATATCAAAGACTGATATTTTAATATGCTGAAACAACTGCTTTCACAAATTTTCCTTCCTTGACAAATAGTTGCACGTTAACTTTTCAGTGTGCTAATGAAGCTTGTGTTTGAGAAATCGAACCGAAGACAAAGCAAATTTTACTTCTAGAAATTATTTGTAAACGTTCAGTTTCACTTTTGACTTACAAGCTAAACTAATTTTTAAATTCAGCAATAAATAGTTTCTTATTTTTTTACACAAAAAAGTTGCAATTGATTGCAGCAGATGGGTTA